CAGCAGCCGTTACTCCAGACTTCAGTGTCATATGATCCTACAGAAATCATTCGAATGTACTGATTTTCTGCTCAAGAAACATTTATTATTATTACCAAAGTTGAAAACAGTTGTGCTGTTTAATATTTTCGTGAATACCATACATTTTTTTCAGGATTCTTTGATGAATATAAAGTTCAAAGGAACAGCATTTGAAATAGAATATGATTGTAAAAATGTAAATATTTTATTGTCACTTCTGATTAATTTAATGCATCTTTGTTCAATAAAAGTTCTAATTTCTTTAAAAAAAAAAAAAAAAAAAACTGACTGACCCAAACCCGAAGCAACATTTGTCATAGAAAGACCTTTTGATGGAAAATGTTGTATTTACAAACGACAATCATATAGGTCTTTTAATAAAAGTAAAGTCATTTGCACTCTTTGTATGGAAGTATTACAATTAATAATATTTAAATAAAAAATTGTTTGAATAAAAAAATAGGTCTAGAAAGTAGCAGCATTAAACATAATAGTGTAAAAAATATTTAATCCAATACATAATAAATAAAATCACAATTCAAACTTTTACAAATATTTGGTTGACAGTGGAAGCTGTCAAAAACAATTTGTGCAAACTACACTTTACATATGCATACCTATGAATATTAATGAGATTATGTCAGATTGTCAGTAGGTAATATATCAAATCCAGCAGCACACAACATGACAGCTGACACAGTTTTAAATGTTGTGGTGATATGTTCTGGGCAATAGATTCAGGAATAAGCAATAAAGTAATTTAGCCTGTTCAAATCATCAAAATTGAAGAGTTGTGTGCGCAATAGTCCACTTAAGATCCTTGTTTAAATTATGTGGGCTCTATTCCTCCCCTGTCAGTTTCTTAGTGCAGTGAGTAATGGGTTTAAAAACAGAGTAAAGCGTTCGGTTTGAAACCTTCATAATGATCTCAACGTAAAAATCAACAGCGCTGTTGATAAATGAACCTGTATGTGTGAGGTGAAGCCCACTCTGTTTGTTGCCAGCAGGAACCGGCTCTGGGTACTTAATCATTTCTGCACAGGCAGAGGCCACGAGTCGTCTCCAGAGCCTGGTGGCTTTGATTATTCTTATATTAGAGACAGAAAATATGACTTGTTGGAATTTATAGGATTTTGTCAAAAAGCAATATAAATAATACATGCAAATCGTGCCATGTTTGCCAGATGGTAAAAAACAACAATGTGATTTCTTAGAATTCAAGAATACATGGTTAATCTTGATTTAGAAGAAGATTTAAGGTGGTGGTTCTCAGATGGCAGATTTTCCAACAAAGCAGAAAAAAAAAATAAACAAGTGCGTATAAAAATCACACGCTGACTTTATTAATTTTATCATGAAAAGCATATCCCTGACAAAATTCTACACTTCTCTTAAATGTCTGAGATTCGAACCTGCAGTCTTTTGATAATACGTATACACTGCTAATCTTTTTTTTTAAGAATTTATGCATTGATTTACATTTATTAAAATTTAAATTGATAAAAAATCGATTTCAAATCAATGCTGCTCATTTGAACTTTTATTCATCAAAGAATCATTCCTCAAAGAAACATCAAGATATGATAATTCATGATAATACATATAAATTCAGCTTTGCCATTACAAGAATAAATTATATTTTAAAATATAGTAAAATAGAAAGCAGTTATTTGAAATTGTAATAATATTTCATAATATTACTGCATTTCTGATCAAATAAATGCAGCCTTGACGAGTCTTCAAAAGATTTAAAAGATCTTACAGAGCCCAACCATTTGAACAGTAGTTTATACCAGGGGTTTTCAAGGCACCTGTCAAGGGGGGCGCGAGCATCCAAGAGGGTCTAGCTGCAGCCTTGCACTTGCACTCTCAGACACTTGCGCTTCCGCTAGCGACTGGGGGAGGCGCGAGTGAAATTTGACAAACTTGGGGGGGCGCATGTCCTAAAAGGTTGAAAAGCCCTGGTTTATACAACCACTAATGTGACATAAAAGACCGTTTTCTAAACTTCAGTGAAGTTTGATTAGGTTTTAAGCACACTCTAATGATGTCTTGTTGTCAACACATTATTATTATTAAATATCAAGCATTCGGCATCATTTCACTTTTGCTAAAAACAAACAGGAGTGCCACGTCAGATGCAACCTATGAAACCCATTGCCGTGTTACGCCTTCCTCTCAACACGATAACCGCATTTTTCTCTCCCATCTCAGCAGGTAATTTCCTCTCCTTACAGCCAGTGTGCCTAATTTGACAAACACCAATAATGGCTCTCAACAGAGAATGAATGATGCAGTCGTCTGGAATCTCACCAGAGTCTTGCATCCTGCCATCTCAGCTCATTTAGCCTTATTTCCAGTCATTTACAACAAACCAATTATTCACTTGGATGTGATCGTCTCATCAGCCTGCTCGATTAGATGAGGATGGGAACAAGACCACAGGCAGCTATTGAAAATGAATCAGCTCATTATTCTTTAGGAAGTTGGCTAATTAGTTGGGACAAAACACGTTCTGTAAATGGAGAAGCATTAAATGCTTGTGACACCCAAAGCACCCATGAAACGGTAAGCAATGACCTAATGAAAAGATGGAATCCTGAAAAGGATCAGCCTTGGTTCACAACTAAATTGCACTTTCAGGGATGAAATTATACATGATTTAAATATATATATTGGATAAAGGAATGTAAATATAGGAATGATCTGAAAACCAAAAAAACACTTGAATGTTATATGAGATATAAACTCCACAACTACTGTACAATCAAGATTTCTAGGAAAGTTCTTGGAAACAACAACTCAAAAAGACTTAAACAACAAAAAGACTCAAACAAACCTTACTGTACACTGCCATTCAAAAGTTTGGGGTTGGTAGATGTTTTTTTTTTTTTTTTTACGTTTTTGAAAGAAGTCCCTTTTGCTTACCACAGCTTAATTTTTTTATCAAAAACACAGTGAAAACAGTAACATTGTGAAATATAGGTCTAATTATTATATATCGGTCATTCTACTATACAGATGTTATGTGGCTTCAAATTTTTGTGAAAACCATTTTTTCAGGATTCTTTGATAAATCAAAAGTTTAAAAGAACAGCATTCATTTGAAATATCTCATATCTTTTAAATATCAGTCTTTACTGTCACTTTTGATTAATTTCATCCTTGCTACATTAACGTATTCATTTCTTTCTAAAGAAAACCCCAAACTTTTAAATAATACTTTTTTTTTTAAGATAATGCGTAATTTTACTGAGCTATTGTTTAAAACGTTTTTAGAGGTAATAAACAAGTTACAGAAAAGGTCAAATGTCATTGTGATCTTTTATCATGCCACGTTTTTACCAGTGCATTTGGTACAGTAACTTCATATCATTTAATGAAATACACTCACCAAAACGGTTGTGACGTGGTCACTGTATTTTTACAGTAAAGTTCCACCAGACCTGCGGTTCAATGTTTTCATATACAGTATTTAGCTACATAATGCTATTAATGTTTCCTTTCTGGCTTCCATAACTGAGATCTAATGAACATCCAGCTATTTTAGCAGTGAAATAAAGTCTGTCTACAGACATGTTCAAGTAAAATAAACTCATGCATACTTGCTTTAATTTTTCACCCCCACCTGGACACTGAAGGAATCGCGTCTTTATAAATGAAGACTGATGTGTGCCAAGAAAACATCTTGGTTGAATTTAAAGTATTTTTAAAAGTATAGCATAAAAACTTTTTAAATAAAATTTGACTTATTAGTTGTAATTAAAAAGCCACTTGTGTATGACTAATATTTTTGTTTACTAGTTTCATAGCCGTTTTGTGTCCAAGTTAGGTGCAGTTTAACCAATTAAACAATTAATAAAGGAAATTTACTTCAATATTTTTCTCTTGTTAATCTTACAGCACATCATTTTATCCAGGCTTCGAATTAATTAAAAACTTAAATGAAAAACGGTAAGCAGAGTAACGCACAAAAAAAAACACTATATTAACAACTTCATAAACACACTATCAGACACTAGTGCTACAGCTGAATCATGCCTCTAATCAAGTTTTCTACTACTGTAAGTTAACAAAACATTTTATTTTAAAGTGATTAGAGTGCAAATAAAAGCGAGAGCTTCTGTATGAGGCACCTGCGCTCGCGAGCGCTACTGCAGTGAGAGATGAGAGAGCGCTTCACTCACCTTTAATGAACATGAAAAATAATTCCAGGTAAATTATTGCTTCGCTGCTTGTCATCAAACACAGAGCACTGAGCAGACATGCGCTGCACACAAGGAGTCGATCTCCATCCTCAAGCCGCTGTGCAAGATGAGTGAAAGTAAAGTACAGCGCGTGCATCTCGCTCGCCAGTCCCTCCCCTTCACGCGCCACGGAAGATTCTTTCAGCGGTTACGCGAACTTTAAGGGGAGGTACTACAGGTAAACACACACAATTTTGCCCTTTCTCCTTAATTAAAATTAAAACGTGCCATATACAAACACAAAATAAGTCTTTATCTTAAATTGCGGATTTATCTATTTACGTTTTTAAGTATACAAATTACGCATCACCTTTATGAAATAGGCCTACGCTATCCCAGCAAAAAAAAAAAAAACTTAATCCAGTCTAAACTGGTGTTCTAGTCAGTGCCCAAGCTGATGCTCGACTGGTTTAGCTGGTCACCCATCCTGAACAACTAAAAAGTGCTATAAAGCCAGATCAGAGTAGGCTGTTTTTTCCAACAAAGAGTGTAAATAAACATTCATTTTATTGAGCCTGCAATGATACAGTTTGCTGATCTGAAATGGTTCCTGGGTTTTGGCCACTTTTAAGATGACCAGCAAGTCTTCCTAGGCTAATTTAGGCTAGACAGAGTCCTATTATAAAACGTTTACTTTATATGCAAAACGTCACTTAAAAATGGCCGTAAAATCAAACAAATGTTAAAATTCTTATCCAACGAAAAGCATTATTTATGCCTGTCGTAGCCTACCTGAAGTGAAAATTGTCTTCAAAGGCAAGTGTTTGGTCATCGGTAGATGGTAACCGTGCAGGCATCGACATCTAGTGTTAGCTTTAGGGAAATAAAATTTAACAAAAAGCCAGCTTGTCTCTATACCGCGAAAAATGCACATAAAATAAATTAACAATTAGCATTGATATACTTGTGCTGTGCTTTAGATTTACTCAAGTCAGAAACAAGTACAAACATTCAAGATAGTAGCATAAATTAATATACTCAACCGTTTTTATAGTCAAAATAAATTAATCTATCAGAAAGTCACTATTCCAATATTTAGGATAAATGTCTTAAGTCAGGCTGCACATGTGATTGAACCAATCAATTACATACACGGTGTTGTTCAGCTATAAATCACTGGTTTGCCAAGCCTTAACAAGCATGTTTCCAAACAGACCACACATAAAAACAGGAGTCTGATATTCAGAGCCCAGGAGCTATTTATTGCTTAACTGGAATGTAGAGATGTTTACAAAAACAGTGCTGTAAAATGTTCCATGTGACCTTTTGTAGAAACAATGCTGGTATTCAAGCAGACCCACTATTCTTTTCATTTTAAAAATCAACAAAATCCTTAGCAATAATTAAGCTTACCAGATGATTGATCCATATCTTAAGATGGATTAATAAGAAAGTGGTTTTTCTTAAAGCATCAACACAATATCAGGATTTAAAATATACACAATGCTTAACACAGAAAGCAGCAGTCAGTTGTACAGCACAGGAGGGTGGAAGCGTAAGGCAGATTAGTGTCTCAGAAAACTTGCAGTCCATTCATCTCCGCGGGCATTTAAACAAACACATTTGGGCCTAAACGCACATACCTCCAAATAAAGACAAATATCCGTCAGGGTATTAAACTTCCATTAGATTTAACGCTTCATGTTCATAATCCAACATGCTCACAAAAACACGATCTGGGCTCACATGGAACAAGATAAAGCACAAAAGAAATATACAACATTTCTAGTTCCACACAATACAAAAATGACGTTTCAATAGGAGAGAAAAAAAAATCTATGACTGTACACCCCTGACGTCCCTTGCAGAGCAAACCATGATAATCACAGGGCCATAACATATTCATCTTCCGGTCACCTCATTCATTTCAACAGCTCACTAAACATCTTTACAGTAATTTAATGACATGTGTTTACAGTGCAAGTATTAAAAGAAAATATTTCATGATTTTTGTAGCCTCTTATCCAGTATTATATTCATATTCCTGTGCCGTAAAACAGGTAATAAATCATTATTGTCAACATGATCAAACCCTGATTTTTCTCCAAAATATATTATTTCAGGAATGCATATATAACTATAAAAACAATCAGGAATAAGTACTTCTTTAAGAAATACAGTGCATCTTTTTGTACTTGTTAATTCATAAATATAAATTGTCAAAAATTGTGCAGCACATACACTCCAATAAGGATGTGATGACTTTTTTTGTGTAATCATGCAAATGTATACACTGTACGGCCAAAATATTTTTTGTTTGCTTTACAAAAGGATATCCGTGTGAAAATAGTAATGGCAAAATAAAACGATCCCCACACAGAGAAATCGCTACGTAAGAATGTTGTCTACTTGTAAAATTACTACTTATGAAAAATATAAAAATAATTCAGGCACAATATAAAAAATGCCACTTAGTAACTGACTGAAATGGAAATATTACGAATTTTTTGCTTTGGGTAAAAACATTTCTCATGTATAAAAAATTGTTGGACAAATGGGAAAAGCTTTTGAATACTGCAGCAGACTGCTGGTAAAATGCTTCAGTTCACTGAGTCAGTTCCATTAGCATTAAGTTTCTCACTTTCTGGTCTGGGTGTGCGGTCTGCTTGTTGATTGTTTCCCTTTCGGCAAGGAATACCGCGATTTTTCACGAACAAACCAAAGTCAATAAAGAAGGCCACCGTGGCCAGGAAGCCAAATGCCTGTAATACAGGAACGACAGTTAAATGTTAGCCAGTCAGTATGAGCTATGTTGTCATATCAACTAAAAAAAACACAAATCTAGCGCCATCATACCACTGTGCCTTGCTCCAGACCCGTTTGACCATTGTCTGCCGCAAACAAAATGCTGGCAAGGAAAAACAGGATTGCCATGACTGATGTGTATCCGAAATCCTATGGAAAAATTAAAAGAAGAAGTTTAACTGTACATTGGATAAAATTGTATCCTCTGGAATAAGTGATTCTGACTGGTCAGGAGTGGTCAATCACAAAAAAAATTATGAATATAATATTCTAAAGTTTTTATTATATTTAGCATTTGTACATTGTAATATTGTAAAAATTAAATAATGATATTGCATTATTATTAATAGTGTTTTTTGACTTACCAGACTAGGCCAGCTGTTAATTCCAACTCTCTGGTGCAACGGCGTGGCCAGGAGGATGAGGAGCAACAGTGTGAAGAGCAAGGCTGTGCAACTGACAAATTCAAAAAAGTAGAGTGGTCCACATTGCGAACAGCTGGACACCACCTCCTCCATCACAAAAGCCACAAAGGAAAGGAGCTGAGGAGACACAAATGAAATCCAAGTGCATTCATTAACCACCAGGTGGCAGTATCAGCTTATAACTCTATCCTGTATACAAGACAATATGAATGATTTGGGCGTTTTAGATTTGCCTAAGTGACTAAATATTGTATTTAACACTCTGTTAAAGAACATGCATACTCAGTCACAATTCGAAACAGGAAATCAGGTGTGATGTAAATGCATCAGGTAGGGGATTCCCAACAATCTAGTTAGGACATTCACTCAGCAAAGTGATATTCATCATCCTGAGCTCTGTTTTAGTCACATGTACGCTATTAAAAGGTCTTCCAGTCCAAAGGTTAAATTTTCACTGTTACATCAATTCCAGGAGACTTTCCACTCAATTTCCCTTTAGCGAACTGAAACTGGCAAAAAAAAAAAAAAGAAAACTGTAAATGATGTAGTCATGCTAGTAAGTTACTACAAATGTACTATAAATAAGAAGTACTTCAAAATAACTCTCAGCATTGTTTGCTGTGGTGAATATGTCAACAACATCTCTGCTGTTAAACTCTGGGGTTGGTAGTGAAATAATTTCTTTAAACCATTAATAAAAGGCATAGCAATATGCTTAGTTTTAATACAGTTTGAGAATATAAAATATACATTCATAAATCAATATGACAAAGGGGAAGAGAGTATAGAAAATAATAATAAAACATCCATTTTTCTATAACAAATAGCTGGTATTTGACATTCAACTGGTAAAAAGAGAACAGATTCAGGGCAAAATAGGGAAAATCTATCTGTATAACTGGTAGTAAGGAGGAAGAGGAAATCCTTACAGTGTGCTCATTTATACAAAATCAAATGTCATAAGAAGCAACGTCAAAATGACAAAGCCAGACTAGCCCACACGTTTGACTCATAACGTCTGTTTTGAGCTTTGACAGCCCTGACTGCTAGGAAGCAACAGGGTAGGTTCACATGCAATTGTTATTGTCGCTTAAGAAGCAGAACCTTATCGCTACCACACAGAATCCATTCGAAATCCTCCATACAAACAAGCCGGATAGAACACAGCTGCTGTTCACCACCCAAAAAGGGGCTTATTTCAGACATTTATGAAATGACCTAAAATGTAACCAAGCATGCTGAAACCACAAAGAAAAATTTCAGTCTGAAACTGTAACGAACAAAGCTTAATTCCTGGAAAACATGCATAAAAATGTAAAGTTAAAGTGCTAAACTTGATCAGCATTTTGGAATAGACCGTTCCACAGCAAAATCAAAGCATTTCTTCACAATACAGTACAGTCACTTGACTGTGGTCAACCGTCTCTGTTCTGATCAATACATTGTGGGTAGACTGATTTCCTAAACAAAACCAGAGTTAAAAAAAAGCTGTCTTACAAACTCAAGAAACACTGGAAACTAGGGCTGCACGATAAATCGCATGCGATATTTAACGCGCATCTTGTCAGTAAAGCCATTCTGTAATCAGCGGTAAATCTCCATCACGTGCGGGCTTTCACATGGAGCAGCATTAACTACACAGAGCCGTTGTTCACCGACAAGCTGCGCAAAATATGAACGTGGTTTTGCGCAGCTTGTCAGTGAACAACGGCTCTGTGTAGTTAATGCTGTTTCCTACTGGAAACGGTTTGTTTAAAAATACACAGAATATCAAGTGTCAAGAACTAAGAAAAAAATCATTGACTTTTTAAAAATTGAATCAAAGCAGCTGCAAATTCCCACTGGTAAATGACTAAAACTGTACACTGCACTGGGTTTATGTAGCACACAAAAAATATGCTACGGTTTGTGGGCAATAGTTTGATAAAGTGGTTTGGAGGTAGATGAGGAAAGATACTCTTCTCACTGAAGGGCTTCTAAGAACCAGCTTCAGCAATTGATCTAGATGAGGTTTCATCTGGGAAGTACCAAGGTGTTCCAGTGTTGTCATGTCAGTGGCTAAGTGGAAAAGGAAATTAAAAGTAGGGAATTTCAAGGGCATCCAGAAGACACCAGTTAATGAACAATCATAATCATTAAAAAAAAAATTATTAACATTTTATATATATATATATTTTTTTTTTTTCATTTACATTTGTATACAATTTGAACTGTATATGATTAAAAAGCAAGTCTCTGTTCTGATTAATAACATACTGTTTAGTGTCATGAGAACACCACAAAAAAACTCCAGTGGCAATTTCCCTGAATACACTACAGGAGAAACACTTCATAAAATCTAATTTCCTGAAAAGCATGAGACCAGGCCCTGGACTGTGGGGCAGTTACTTATAAAGAGTATATTTGTCTCAATGTTGACCTCTATGTGGTAATTATTGGCTAAATTTAATGTGTTCTGAAGTGTACTTCCCTGTACTTAAAGATTCTTGCTTTTAGTATGCGATTTGAATGTCATTTAAGCCCTTGACTCACCACAACACTGTGAAAGTTAAGAATGAGATGGTAATTGAATTTAGCATCTGCTCTCTAACTGCATTAAGAGTTTAAAGGCCGACAGTCATTTCTTACACCTGACATCACTTAGTTTGTCACATGCAAGCAGACAACACCCTTTGGTCTTTCCAGCTGTGACCTTGCAAACACTTAAAATAGTGACAACCAATTAGTAACACCCTGAGAAGAATTGATGCTAAAAGCTAAAGATCAAGATGATCAAATATGTACAGAGGAATCTGAAAATTTCAGAAAATTACATTGAAAATCAGGGACTCAAAATCTAATTTAGCCCAGAAAATAAACTAAAATAATTTTAGATTTTATTTTAAAACAAAGAAATGCTATGAATTAAAAAGCATAAGAAAAAAAATGGATTCTGCACCATTTCTTGACTACCCTTCAAATCAAATAGTCAGATTCCTTGCTTTCAATACAGCACATATACATTTCTCATACCTTTTAAAATAGAGCATCAGGTTTTGCACAAACCTGTTGAGCCCATACCAGTATTTGGGATTAAAAGGATATGGTGCAATGCTTATTGTGTGCTAAGTAACATAAACACTTCAATGAATGAATGATGGTGAACCACACACACAAAATAAACCAGGACCTCGCCTCATATGAGTCCATTGCATGTCTTTGCAAAGCACAACTAATATCTACTAAATAGCCACTCGACCAGTAGTATTCCTTAGTGAACCAAGATGCGTTCATGTTCTGCTTCGTCATAAATTATAGAAGTCAGTTTGACACATAAGGAAGATGCCAAGGAAATGGAGGGAATTTCTAACTTCGACTCAGACAAAGTCCAACACTCTCAACTGCTTTACAAAAAGCCCCATGAGCAACAACCAAGCAGCACATGACTGCAATGCTGAAATTACCACGCTTGTTTAGAAAATAAGCTTGTCATTATTCAATGCAGGCAAAAAAGTTGCCATTCCTCACTAGCACCCAAGGACTTGTTAAACATCATTTGCATTATCAAAGATGTGTGAGACAGGGCAATGGATTCATTCAGCAGAATCTTTCATTAGCATGTAATAGAAACAACAATATTCTAATGAACACTATCAGTAGTCATATTTTAGCCCCACCTTTTAGAGGTTAATGAACTGCCAGCGTTCTTGTTTACTATTATTAGCACACTTTTCCAATAATGCTATCTTAACTTGAATTGTGTCTATAAAACGGATTAACCACTTATTCACTATAACGACCTCTTATTCAAACCATGTCCCAATGTACTTAGGGTTAAAAAAGTATTTTACATTAGGCTACTATAAAGGAAAGTGCATATATAGCTATATTAGACAATTTAAAAGAGATCTCGTATAAATTATGATCACAGTACATGTAAACATGTGGTCACATTTGCGTCCAGCGTGTTTTCAGACAGAACATGAAACATGCAGCTTACCAGTTCAATCACTTTTATCGCGAATCTAACTTTGTCCAGGTTCTCTGAAGGCACGATGAACCATTTTCTGGATTTGGGCTCCTGCGCTGCTGTTGTGGTGTTGTACACCGTGTCTGCGGTGGCCATACTGTAGCTATTCGGTAGCTAAATCTGAAAACGAGAAGTATATAAAACAGTTTAGCAATAAAAGCGTTTATAAATCAGCACAGATAACGATATGTGATATTGTAAAGGAAACAAAGTAACGACGCGTCGATAGCTGGTGTTCACGCTGAGAAAAGCGAAAGTAAACCAAACCAGTCAAAGTCAAGTCTAACTAAGCTAACAGAATTGATCAACACAGAACGGTCGATACAAACACACTGCAACATGTACAGCAATCGATTATGTGTGATAACAATATTGATAAATATTTGAGAGTGAAATACCTCAGGTGGTTGTTTTAATGTGCTCTGTTTATGCCGTTCACGCGTCCTTTGTGTGACCAACTTGTGTTTTTCACTTCCGCACTCCCCTCAGTTTTCTAGGAAGGACTTCCTACGGAGGTTGCTGAAGTCTGCGACCCAGTCCATGCAGCACCACAGAAGGGTGTTATTGGGATTTTTGTTTCTGCGATTTTTACCTTTCAGTAGTTGTAAGAGATTTCAACTGTTTTTTCTATATAAAGATCGCTGTAAATGTCTTGGAAACGTTTTTTCCATGCGCGCTTACATTTATTTGCTACTTCTGCGTGCCTTTTATGTAGCCTAGATTGTAGTACTTTGGTCATTTAAGTCTTAAACTTTGAACATTTAATAAAATATTAATTATGATGTTTAAAATGATGATGATCTAAACAAAAAATGAAATAATCAAACAATTTCAATGTTTATTGTGTGAAAGCTGTCACGAATCCTGTCCATGAACTTCCATCCACTTGCCACCAGAGGTCGCCCTCCCATTATATTGACTCTCACACCACACAGACTGTTACACATCACCCTGGACTACATTTCCCATGCTCCATTGCACTAATCACAAGCTCACCTGAAACTTATCACACACAGCTGCTACCAATTACACTCACTATAAGAATCAGTCTCAAACAACCATTCAGGGCCAAGTATTGTAAGTGCATATCGCTACCCTAGTCGATAGCTACTTTACAGAGCCAGTTCCCGGTCCTAGTTGGAGTTTCTAGTTGTCTAAGTCTAGTCTAGTCACGTCTAGTTTCCTGATTGCCTGTTTCCTGATTTTCGCTTGTCCTGGATTATCCCTCTCGTCTCGCCCTGTTCAAATACTGTTTGCCCCTCGCCTGGACCATAGCCTGTGTTTCGGATTAACCCTTTGGATTACCCTATTTGGAGATTGTTCGCCGGAGATCGACCACGCCCGCTCACTGGACTTCTCTTGTGTCTTGCCCTCAATATACCTGTTTGCCATTGTCTGACCCTTGCTTGTTTTGACTTTGTTCTATAAATAAAGCTTTGCATATGGATCCGCACGCCTCTCGTCTCGTCGACCCCGTAACAAAAGATATATGATAAATAGTGCTGTCAAACGATTAATCACATCCAAAATAAAGGTTTTTGTTTACATAATGTGTACTGTGTATATTTATTATGTATATATAAATACACACACATGCTTGTATGTATTTAAGAAAAATATGTTATGTTTATACATTTAAAATATTTATATATAATATCAATTTTATTAATATAAATATATACATGGAAATATTTTCAAAATAGGCTATATACTGTATGTGTGTGTATTTATATATACATAATAAATATACACAGTACACGCATATATTATGTAAACAAAAACTGTTATTTTGGATGCGATTAATCGTTTGACAGCACTACATATTTTATCTCTCGTCTTAGGTGTGAGTCAGGAACCAGTGTCCCTGACAGATATTCTGCTCGATGTGATTAATCACGATTAATCGTTTGACAGCACTAATTATAAATAAAATAATAATAATAAAATATTTCATATAACTCTCGATCAGTTGTAGGCATTTCCACCGCTTCAAATAATTTTGGCCTTAATAAAGTTTTACTAAAACTTAGTGAAAGCTACATAATGCTTACCTGAGGCAATAGAGCATGTCTGAGACCCTGACACTGGACCACAAAACCAGTCATAAGGGTCAGTTTTTTTAATTGAGATTTCAAAATTATACATCAAAGCTAAATAAATAAGCTTTCCATTGATGTATGGTTTGTTAGGATAGGATAATATTAGGTGAGATACAACCTATTCGAAAATCTGGAATCTGAGGGTGCAAAAAAAAAATATCTGTCCAAATGAAGTCCTTAGCAATGCATATTACTAATCAAAAATTAAGTTTTGATATATTTACAGTAGGAAATTTACAAAATATCTTCATGGAACATGATCTTTACTTAATATCCTAATGATTTTTGGCATAAAAGAAAAATCTATAATTTTGACCCATACAATGTATTGTTGGCTATTGCTACAAATATACCCCAGCGACTTAAGACTGGTTTTATGGTCCAGGGTCACATATGTGATGTGTGAACAAAATTACAAAAAAGAAAAAAAGTTGTATTTTATTGTGCAACAATTTCATTCAAGTTGTAATTTTGTCAAATTATTCGAAAAATGTGAGAATATTATTCCATTGTTTGTACTGAGGATGCATAAAATGCTGGCTATGAAAACAGCCTTTAAAAAACAAGGGATTCTGACATTTCACATCACGCATGTGGTCTTTGCTGTAATTTTCTTGTAATAAAAAAGATTTTACTTTGAAAATGCTTGGCATTGGAATTTGGAAGATGATGTTGATAAGCAGCTAATGAGAAAGCATGTGCTTTTAATTCCCATCTTTAACAAGGGCTGTTTATACTCTGGGTCTTTATGGATCCATCAGTTTCTTTCCTCTTTAATGATTTTGATTAGATCTCTATACTGGTCTTAACCTTTCTGTATAATGAAATAAACTTTTGTAAAGACAGATGTGAACTGACTAGAGTTTGAATCCTCCCACGTTTCATATTCAAGTTCATTTTACAAAATAAATGATAAACGGTACAAAGAGCAATGAACTTTATTGTTAGCTATGCGTAGGCCTGAATATCCTGATAAACTTTGCATAGATACACATAAACTACACTTGGCTAGAATCCAAAAACATGAACTCTAAATATCCAGACTATTACAAACCTACTGTTAAGAGTTGATCCTGTGAGAAAGGCAGTGGGATTTTCATGCACTTTGTGTCTTAGCATACACACACACACACCTGTAATTACTGTTTGGAGTCAATAATAAATGCCAATGTACACACAGACATTGGCATTGAACAGACATTGAAGGGATCTATAGGACCTGCAGCACCACCTCCAGAGGTCAGTCATTTCCAGCTTCACTGACTTACAGAAGTTTCATTCAAGTTGCTCCAAGTTTTGTGACATTTGAAAATTATTTGAAAATTTGATTTGAATCCTTAAAGCAGCTGACAAACTGAACACTTTAAAACTCTCTAAATAACTTGCAATATATTGATTAGTCCCCCTTAAGTTTAGCTTATGCATAGTTTATTTTTATATATTTCTGTTTTTATCATTTGTAAGTATTTTGTTTGTATATATAATCTTTCAATATATGCTGCTTGAAGTCATTGTGGACGTGTTCAACAATGATAATGCCTGTTTGTGATTTGAAGAGAATTAATAAAGGCTTTTATATGTATATATATGTATATATATATATATATATATATATATATATATACATATATATACATATAAAAGCCTTTATTAATTCTCTTCAAATCACAAACAGGCATTATCATTGTTGAACACGTCCACAATGACTTCAAGCAGCATATATTGAAAGATTATATATACAAACAAAATACTTACAAATGATAAAAACAGAAATATATAAAAATAAACTATGCATAAGCTAAACTTAAGGGGGACTAATCAATATATTGCGTGGAAACTTCTCTCCTCTTCTCCACTAAGTAAGTAAATGAGACAATGAATTTATAATTAATATTGTTATATTTTTTTAATTATTACTTGGTTTTATGTATAAACATGACCAGTCACAATATATATTAAAACTATGACTTTATATCACTTTTTTTCTTTTTAAGATTGTGAAGGGCTCGCATACTGTCCATTTTTGCTTTTGGCCTTCATAAACATAATTGTTTTTACATAAACGGTAAATAATTTCTTTCTTAAAATGTATATAAATTATAACTTTCAAATGCTAATTGGTTTCCTATGTCTTTTCTTTTGTTAGTTTAAGAGAGCATTTAAGTGTGACCAGCTTTATTCAGTTAAGGATACTCTCCTCTTTTTCACTAAGTAACAAAGATATTGAATTTTTGGTCCATTTTGTTATATATTTTTTATTACTAGGGTTTATGCATAGACATACTGTCAGGGATTCATCACAGTCACTTCAGTCACCATCCAGGATAATTACCCGATCACAGTCACCTGAG